ACCTTATCGGGCCTTACGTCTTACGATATATTATGGAGTGTTTTATGGTTAAGTATGGGTTAAGTATATGGTTACTTTCTTACCATCTACAATCACCTTGGGGAAAATATAAACATGTCAGGAGAAATGGTTTGAATTATGTATTAAACAGGGAGATAAAGTAAATTTCTAATAATTTAAAAATAAATTACATAAAAACTCTCAAATAATTTATTTAAAAATTTTAAAACACTTGTTATTTTATTAAAGACTAAGCTGATGTCTGTAATTACAAATTCCAGAATGTTCTAGGTATAAACAAGAAAAAACTTTCCAAAATATAGGTCACTAAATCAGACCCGCGGCCAAAGGAAAAAACAAAAACGTGTTGAAGATGCACTGCATTCGGGTGGCATCATTTGTAAAGTCGTGAAAGTCACGGAACATGCAACATGTTACAAAGTACATGGGACAAGCAGGAAGGTAGAAAGATTGGTTGCCCGAAACTCGTTTTCGAAACTTGATGGTGTTAAATGTGACGTGTGCGTCATCATACCTTCGTGCCCATATTCGAATGGGTCCATGCAATCGATTAACATAGGGGAGACTGGGTACGGTTGTGACAATTTGTGTTTGATTACCAATAGTTTTGTTAATTTACCAGTTAGATCGTAGAAAAGTAACTTTTATGGTAATTTGTACATTTATCTATACAAGAATACTAAAATGTTGGCCCTAAATACGACGTATAACTAATAAGATAAATTTAAAAAAAAAAGTCAAATTGTCACAACCGGCCACACACCAAGGACGGTTGTGACAGTGGTTGGGTGCGGTTGTGACATGCAAAAACATACACTAAAATGGCCATTCTCTTGGCAAAAATCTAGTGCATTAATATGAATGTGAGAGGAATGATTATCCAGCAATAGAAAAACTTGATGTGTTAGAGAAGCATTCGAGAATTTCTTAAAATGTTCGAGAAATGTTAAGAATGAGACATCCTGCATCCAACCTGAAGGATTTACAGTTCCAATTGATCCCACCGGTCCATCTCTAACAAAATGATCATGATAACGTATTCACGGGAATACAAAAAAGCAAAAAAACTGCAAAAAAGCATCTTGAAGCAAAAAAGAACAACTATAGTAATGTCACAACCGTACCCACAAAATTTGTCACAACCGTACCCGAACCTCTTTTTCGAAAACAAAAATTCGCCATGACTTTGTCGAATAATCTACGTAAAAAGCAAATGCTTATAAATAACTACCAATGTTCAATTTAAAAGAAACAAAAAACAGAAGTAACCTATCTGTATACAAACAACAATAATTATTAAGTGAAGCCGTACAAATATATTTACTTTTGACTGTCAAAAAGCAATGTGGGCTCGTAGTTACGTTAACGTCGCGCAATGACTGATGCAATACTAGGGAAAGCGTTCAAATTTGCACCCCGCTTCTTTATCCTCTTGCACCCTCCCCCGTATGACGTATAGTTTCGTTATTATGACGACTGTCACTACCGTACCCTGGCACAACCGTACCCAGTCTCCCCTACGTGATCAGGGTCAAGTTGTAAAAATACAGACAAGTACAAAATAAAAGAAATTAATTCATCAATCAGGGCAGAATTTATGATTTCGTATTGAGAAAAATAAATTGATCACTTTTATATCTGTTAGATGGCGTTGTTAAAAGCAGGTTTAGAATAGAATATAATTTAGGTTATGAGTGTTTGGTGTCACATTCGTATTTACGAGTATATTCTACATTCTTCTGGTTGTGTTAATGACTTAATGAAATGAATACAAAAATGTTTTAATTTTAAGTACGTTTTGTAAATAATTTACTCTAGAGTAATATAAGTACTTTTTACGACGATGAGAAAATGTCTGTATTTGTGTAGTATTTAAACAGTTTAATACAACATAATATTTATAAGAATATAAAGTAACACATTTTACAACATTTAAAATAGTCATGCAATCACACTTCCTTTCGGACGTTGCATTACGGCGCAACACATCCTTTCGCGGCGTAGCACGCCGTGGCCACCGACTACAATATATTGTTATTCATTATAATAATAGTAGTAATAACACAAACGGACTGACTTCTCGTCTTCTGCACACAGTCTGCAGGTTTTAATGTGTTCGCCTCTTGCGTTAACGCTTCTGCGGCGCACGACTTGTTTTACAACCGATGAGTACCTTCAAAGTTTACAAACTGCCTCAACAATCATTTCTGTTGTTGTTGTAATGCGCGTTTAGAAATGCCTGCGGCCTTCCACACTTTATTAATAATTATAACGAGAATAATAGAAATATTTGTAAATTTATTTCTACAATTAAAATCAAAATAAACAGAAATAGATTTTATAAAATTTTAAAAAATATATCTGTGATAAAATTTGTATTGGCAATTTAGTAAAACATTTTTTTTTTGATTTTTGGCGTAGAATAAATGCTCAAATGACATTTTACCAAAAATATTTTAATTTAATTCGTTATAAATGTTAGTTTTAATATTAATGAAAAAATAATTAATAATATTAAAAGTATAATTATATATTATACAATAAATTACCTAAATGGATAATTATCGGACATATATGTTGCAATATCCACTACATTTAATTAAATTTTGAATTTTATATTACGATAAATTATTCCTAATTAATAGTAAAAAATAAAATATTAATTAAACATTAGGTTAACACGTACTTAACTTATCAACAAGCAGTGGTCGCGATGATCATCATTGGTTTTATTTTTCATTTTCCGTTTTTATTAAGGACAATAACAGGAAATGTCTATTATAGGGGAAGGTAGCATAATTTGGACCAGCGCCTAAGTTGGACCACCACGATATCCGCGGACTGTTGAAGTTTATGCAAAAATTGACTGGCCCCTTGTTTTACTCGTATTTATAAACAATTAATGCAACTATTTGGGTTAAAACTTGCCGCGTGCTTTCGTCGTGACAACAACTTCGTGTATCATTGATTATCAAATCTATTATAACGACGTAAGTGCAAGAGCTGTCAAGCCGTTAAAACGTTAGTTTTACCGATTATTATTTTATCATCAGAAAGCTTCTTTATTTATCTATAATTTATAGTATTAATTTGGAGAGGTTATGTTATATTAAGATTGTCGTTGATCATTAAATATAAATTCTTAAAGTTGCCGAAGTTGGACCGAAGACAGGCACCGGGGTTTTAACAGGGAAAACGTATATCATTTTTTCGACCTCCTAGAAAAGTCTTCTGGACGAGCACAAATCTTCGAAATGATCCCCTGTATGAAATACCGCACTTTGGTTTATACAAAATGTGCTTGTGTTACTGCTAAAACTAAAATTTACTATTGTGTCAATTGCCGTTAAAAAAGCATGGTCCAATTTAGGAAACCGCGCGGTCCAATTTAGGAAACCGGTTTCTTAATTTGGACCAAAAACACAATTTTTTTAAATTGAAATTTGAGGGGTATAAATATAATTTTTACTTAAACCAAAAATATCATTTTGTTGGTAAGCCTTGTGAGTTACTTTTCCGCTACTTAATTTTTATTGACAGTTTATATGTGGCTCTATAAATCAAAAAATATAAAAATGGTCCAAATATGGCTACTTTCCCCTACATTCGTGAAGGTATGATTTGATTCTAATGCTCGCGTAATCTTGCATAAGAAAAACAAACAACGTTGCACCTGTAATACTAGTGCGCAATTTACGACCTTTGCTCATAAAATAAGTACATCCATAAAATTTTAATGCATACATAGGTATTTATGCTGTGATAGATGCCGGTGAATATGGATGAGAAAAAAGTAAAAGTCTCGGTGGAATGGAAGTAAAACTCTTGCAATGATATCCTTGCAAATTATTTCATACATTTGCGATTACATAATCTTGATTAATGTAAAAGGAAGTTAATTTTGATTGATTTATGAGGTTAGATTAAGCGACAATATGAGATATTACTATAAATTGTGAAAAATAAGTGCTATAGACACGCAGACTGGAAAATTATTGGTGGGAGTAACGTTAATAAATTTTTAGGTGATTTTAATGCCTGCAGAGTTTTTTTACTAAAATTTCGGTCATAAAAATGCAGATATTAGTAAAAATATTCAAATGACACTATTAAAACTTGTTATTTATGCGCCATAATTAAAATTATACTTATTTTAGTTGTGAAGAAGATGGACGTAATACCCTAACCTTAAAATTTGCAAGCGGCAACCTTATATACACCAAAATTCAATTTGTTACGTTTTTGGTTTAAAAATTTACTTAAAACACACAAAATAACAAAAATTATTGAAAATGAGTTAAAATAATTAATGAATACCTAATCTACTATATAATATACTTTATTAAGTTTGTTAAATGTTCTAACAACATTTTCATTTCTACGCACGTAAAATTTTCTCTTTTTTCCTGGAAGCGCCACCGCTTTTCTCTTTCCGTGCGTCAGCAGCAATGAATGCATTTGGTACTCGTAATAACAATCTCGTTTGCACGTCCGAGTTCGCAAAACGCGATGCCGATGACGTTATCGTAATTCCCTTGAAGAACGCGAACGCGAGCGCTCGCGCTTGCTATCAGCATCAGCCGGCGCACGCACGCTCAAATTACCGTCCGCGCATATCCTGCTCGCATCCTGCCCACCAAGAAGTGAAACGCTTTCTCGATCTCTTCAGGTGGGGGCTCCGACTACAACGTCGTGGACCACTATCAAGCAAGCGCCGCGCGGCGCGAAGAAATTAAAACCGCGACAGACAATCTTCGCAAGCCGGCGACGTCGCTGGAGAAAGCAGGAGAAGAGCACGCGAACACACGGCATTGAAGAACGCCAAGTGCTACGACCGACGAACGGTGTTTCGCTTCCGTTTCGTGCCATGCGCACACACATATATGTCTTCCACGTTTATGTATCGGCTTGGTAAAGAAGTGTGCGTGTCTTCAGGTGGCCTGATTGCGACCAGCGAACAACCGTCGAGTCATCAGCGTCGGCAACGCCAGTCGCTCGCGCCGCTGGCTTAGTTAGTTGGTCGCGCCAACGCGAGCGAAGAAGAAGCGTCGCGCAGCTACTACTTCCCGAAGAACTGGCGAAAAGTTCGGCAACAACAAAACGTGCAATATTTCATCATTTCACTTCAGTCGTGTTCGCATAGTCAACGAATTCAAATGATGAACACTTGACAATCGCCGCTATTACTTAAGCACTGCTACTGGAAACTTCTCGCAAGTCTTCCGCAACTTTAAGGACACGTTTTTACTAAAAATTAAACAATTGCAAAATGTGGTGGTTTAACAAGTGCTCGGTATTGACTTGGTTCGTTATCTTTAGTGTTTTTGGAATTATCGAATTGGCACAGGGTAAGTAAAAGAAAATAAAAATAAAAATTCTTCAGTTCTTCAGCGGTACATTTTACGCGAGCACATGACTACCACATGCTGCATGCATAACGGCATTCATTATTTTACTAATACGAATAAACAAAACACGACTTGTTAGATGTTGCACCGTTAATATTAGAATAAGATTAGAATACAGTTTGACAATAATTGGATTATCACAGTTTTCCACACGTTTAAATAAAATTTAAGGCGCCTCCACCATTTTTGTACAAACACCATTAGAAGTAGAAGCAGAGTTAATTACAAATTGCGTTTATTTTAGTTCCGTTGCTATTTGTTTTTGATGAGCGTTAATCGGATAATCACGAAAACATAAACCACGCGGGTACAATTATCCACCGCAAACCGCAAGCATTTTTTACCGAGTTTTACGACATCGTGTTTTTAACCATTGACAAGCATTTTGGCATCCAACAGGACTCTGCGTAATGACGTCTTGTTGTGGGTTTATATAACGCTAAATGTTTTTTTTATCGCATTCTTTTCGTCTTCACAAGCTGCGGGTACATTTTTTTGGGACTTAAATATGATTGTCTTAGAAATGTCGTCAAGTTGTGAAGCATTATTGGATAATAACTATAACTGTGTGTACATATTTTTGGTTTCGTAAAAGAAATATCCACAAAAATAAAAATTACGCGTTGAAAAACATGTAATGGGTTTCAAGTGAAGATGATTTAATTAATTTAACTAGTAATAAGACTTTTAAAGTTATTTAATTGTTACGAGCGCAATGAGAATTAAAATCACTCGTAACTTTTAGTTTTAGTCTCATTGAAGTTAAATTTATTAAAAATTCAATCGTTTTATTGTAAATTGTTACATCCACGTCTTGTATCTCTGGAAATTTCACGTTTTGTAAGTTTTCTTACGTTATTATTTCAAAATTAATTAATCGCACGATGGGATTTATAATTCTGATTCATAAAAGTGCACTGTAACTAAAAATTATTTATATTTTTAATTTATTCATGTGTATTTGGAAATATCTCAACTAACGCCTTTAAGAAATCGTTTCATCATGGTATTATGTTTTCATTTACAATAAATTAATTAAAATATAAAAATACATCGTTTTAGTTTTCCTGAATTTTGAATATTTAGAAAGTTTATTCGTATTGTATGTTAAACTTCATTAATTTAAAGAAGTCAAAGTCAAATGAATAAAACAGAAACTATTATGAATATAGAGATGATCCATCACGCACAGGATTAAAATAAAACAACACTTTAGTCAGTCACAAGCACTGCATAAACAAATCGTGCTCTATTTAATGTCTTGTTACTCGCGTTTGTTGCGCTTCCGCGCTTCATATCGCTTGATTCGAGTTGGTTGTTGGTTGTTTTGCGATTTATATTCGCCACTAAGAAAATGAGAAATCAGTAAGAAACTGTGTCTTTAATTGCGCTGTAATTATTGTCCAATGACCTATGAATAAATAGATATATCCAGAAAATAAAATTTATTTTTTAAATTTATTTCTTGCTTATTTTAAATGACAATTTACTGATTAAGGAAAGAGTAAGATATTTATGAGATACTTCCCTAATGATAGCTTTCAATTGACTTTCTTTTTTTACAAAATCACACTACATCAAAGCATTAGCAAGGTAATTAAGTCACTAAAATGGTATTTAAACGCACGGAATCATGAAATAAAGAAACTAATTGATAAATACCATGTGTGAATGAATAATTGTTTCCTGTTTTACTCTAGATCTCTAGAATAAAAAGTAAATCACTTGTGAATATTAATAAATGAGTTGAATTAACAGATTTCCTTCAAATCATCATATTAATGATTTAAATAAAGTTTTATTTGTATTTTTTATGTTTTAATTTATAAAAATGCGAAGATTACTATTTGTTGAATTAATAAACGGAATAAGTAGATATTGAGATGTAAAATTTGTGTCATAAGAAGTTCATTAACACTTTGTGAGATATTTATTATTGACACTGTTTGTGTCGTGAATCATGCTTCCTATTAGCACGATGTGAAAGTTATACTACCCAATGCGCAAATATACAAAATACGTATGTACATAAAGTTGGATATTTTATGCGCAAGTGATATTAATTAGCAAGGATTTATCCTACGCACATTTGTCAATAAACTTTTGTACATCTTTCGCTCTTTTCACACATTCATCGCAAAATTACCTCGCACTGTCACGCTGTAACACATTCACACACTTATTACCCGAAATAAATGTAGGTACCTACATTCTTGCGCGTTTATATAAATAATAAGGTCACTCGTATTTACTTCCGACGCGTCATGTTTGGTTTAAACATAACAGAATATCATTCGACCAGCATATGAGTCAAAACGGGTCAAAGATGTATATTTCGAACGATAATTACGTACGTTGACAAGTCAACATGAAATAATCTAGGTCCTAAGCAAAAACACAACTTTAACTCAAAAATTCTTACAAAATATCTCAAAAAATGAGTGCAAGGTTAGTTTTACAATGTAATTAATGAAATGATGCAACTTTTACAACAATTTTTTAACATCCAAACATGATGCAATCGAATGGTAATGAAAAAGAAACTAAAACTATTTCCTTGCTAGTAATTAAATGTTAATATGATTTATAAGGTCTGTTTTTTGAGGCGTGCAAACCTTGGACTCATCACTGCGGAATAGAAACGCTGAAAACCGATTCGCATGCACACTAATAAGTAATAAGTACGCAGTGCTCATGTGTATTAATAGTTTATGCATCTACCATCTGAATATACACACTTTCGTGCGCACCTACCGATTGGCGTCTACTCTTAATCGCCGCAGGTAATAGACTCAATCAACGGACAGTGAACTTGCGCTTATTCGCACATTGCTGATTTGATGCGTGTGTGGTGCAGAGGGCATGCATGCGTGTCTTCCTTGTTTCATTCAGATTAGTAAATAATTTCTATTTTTACTCTCACAATGAAAAAAATTGGGTTTTAATGTTTTAAATTGTGTTTTCTTTTAAAAATTACCGACGCCATTGTAGATTTATGAAACAGGCGGAAGTCGAATGTCAAACACGTCAAGTTTATTGATATGTTCTTGTTTAGTCAGGAGAAATTGCAAAGTAGATTAAAACATCAGAACATACCACTTATTAAATGCATCATTGCGCTTACAAGAAAAAGTCTGCATTCCAAGCTCGAACATAACCTCACTCACTGGCACTAGGTTATGATTCATTCAAGTGTGACGAATAGTCTTGTAATTACACGTATCTGAAATATATTTACGCGGATTTTACACATATACTATTTTAGGTTATGTTTAAGTTCAACTTTCTGGGTGTGTTTGGTTGCTTACACAAGCAATAAAATAGTTACATAAAAAACTTGTCATAAAAAGCGACAATTTTTCAATTTTCCAGCGCACTGACCTAGAAAGTTATATTACCTGATAAATTACGTTCAAATATGTTTCAATACAGCAATGCATGTGGGTTGATTGAATGGAAATATAAAATATATTGACGGATTATTGACGTAACTGTAACAATACTAGTTTATATGTTTGCTAATAATTCAAGTTGTGAGTATTTGTTTTATGTACGGATGTCGGATGCAACATTGCACTGATAATTTAGCTGTAGACCTTGTTTCCTGCACAGGTTGCATATATGATTGAGTGATTATCGAATGTCTTCACGTTTCAACAAAACAAAATTGTAAAAAAAAATGCAAAGAAAAAACACCGCACATTGGCTTTGCAGTATGTTATTATTTCAGCGCACGTTGCCGTTATCCTCATTATCGACATTCGAATGGTTTTTCATTTTTTGCTCGTAAAACAAAAGATTATTCCGAAGTCTAAAGCCTAACAGGAACTTAGCCTCATTTGATAGCGAAAAAATGAATACTTATAATATGTACGAAGTTGAGACAATAATTGCAGCATTTAAAAATGTTGGTAATTTAATTGTTCGTATTTGAAAAACACTTCATTAGTGCATTTGATGGAAACGCAACGAATGCAATATGTTACATCAACGTCAGCACCAGTGCCTCTAATGACGGCAGGCGCAAGACGCGCGAGATTCGCGCAAGATTGAAATCGGCGATTAAAAAAATCAGCGCGTCCGCCATATAGGAAGCAATTAACCGGTACGTTCAACTGATTATAACGTGTGTGGTTAACGTTCCTCATCGACATGTGCAATATGCGCGCGCAAACTCATTGATTCGCAATGTGCGGATGAAAAAGATAAAAAGATAAAAACATAAAAGCAGCGCCATGCTTCACGAACGCTTCGTGTACTTTATTTTGCATTTTTGAGTTTGTTTAACATTATTCTACCTCGCACACAGGGTACAACATTTAAAAAAAATACAATTACCTCATCAATGACGCAAAATTTCTTTTTGAAAAAAAATTTATTAGTGATTAATTTTTTGTTTTCTTGTAAAATGTACTTTTTGTATGCAAAAATCAATGTTGTTTTTGTTTGTACTCGTATGTGCTCTGCGCATTTCTCATTCAAAACTCAAATTAACCCGAGTTTTGTGAAGCGTTCCAGTGACCTAGAAAAATCCAACAATTTTATATTCTCGTTCTTTCTTCCATTAAATGTGTATAAAACGAATTAAGTGGCGAGCACGAATCGACACAAGAAATGAAATTGTAAAATCCCAGCAGACGAGCATTTAATAAAGAAAAACATTCGCAGACACAATAAAAAAACACCGCGTCGGTTTGTTTGCAACGCTCATAAAAAGATTGTCACCAGCGTTTCTTGGTTAGTTGGCTTGTTAAACCATTGTTAGCCAGTTTTTTGTTTTAATTTAAAACATAATGGCTGTTTCGAAGTGCTTTTGTTTTGTTAATTGTGCGGAATTGCCGCGGGCTATAAAAAGATTTGCGTGAAGGATTTATTGTAGGCGCAAACGCAACTTGAAATTTTTATGATTAAATCGATATGAGTCAAAGTAATAAACAGCAATGTTTTATTATGTGAAAGTTTAGTAAACAACATTTTATTTTCAAGTTTTAAACATTAATCATTAATATTTGGTGTTTATTTAATTTAGTTTTAATTTGAGATGATTTTATTTACGATTTTCTCATGTTTTATATTCGAAAATAACTGTTTAGAACACATTTGTCAAAAAAATTGCTTTTGACACCAGTATGGAATGTGTAAATGAGTTGTCGCTCAACGTCTGCCGGCAATAGCTCACCTACTGAAACTGCTCCGGGCCGTGAGAAAACAAGAACGTTTTCTGCCAATATCAAGGATGTCTGCGTCTGACAATCCAATTGAAAGTGTCAAAAAAGCGAACATGAAAATTGCCGCACTTGTAGACTGCTTATTTAAGGTCATCATCATTACGGACGTTTTTCGTTCGTTTTCAAACAAACCAACTATGACACAAATACTCATAACACTTCTCTCATTATTGTTTTCAAGGCGAATGCATTCTATGTTTATACTCATATTTCGTGGTTCTTGCAGCGGAAGTACGCCGTGTGCACATAAACCAGCCCTAATTTAATGTTTTCCTCTTTTTTTCGTTTTACAGGTGAAACAAAAAGCTGTCGATTTCCAGGCGCTCCAGCGCACTCCAACGTGGTATTCTCGGATGAAACATTAGGACCCGGAACAGTTGCGACATACACCTGTGAGAGGGGCTTTGAATTACTGGGACCTTCACGGCGAACATGTGAAAGGGGCCAATGGCTACCGGAAGGCATTCCATTTTGCGGTAAGTGTAAAAGAAAACATTTTGATGTAAACCTGGGCATCGTAGGCATAACATGCTTGTAAATATGCATTCGGAATAGCTATTGTTTTAAAAACAAACAAACAAGCCGGTGATGAATAAGAAATGGTGAATGAAGAATGAAGAATGGTAAAAATGGCGAGTCAGTTCCGCGGCAAGTTCGGCGAGTTCGGTGAGGGTGGTTACGTGACCCAGTTATGCGTCGCCACGACCGCTACGCCGCTACCATTTATGAAACGCCGACCGGCAACGCCAAGAACGCGGCACGCGGTTTACCGTTAGATTTCGGCTCTTTTATGAAGAGTCAGCCAGTGAAACTACACCTGACGCGACCGGCGAACGCGTCACAAGCGCAAAAGAGACAACTTTCCGCCGGGCACCTCCTTCGACTGCTACAACTTCAACTTTTTCGATATTAATACACACTTATACACACATACGCAAACGAAGAGCATGTTAAGAATTCATATAGATAATTTTTTATTATTAATGGTTAGGCGACGATGGTGATACTTGCCGCATGGGAAAATGAACTGTGTTTATTAAAAACAGATTGAAGAAGCGCATATGATAAAACATATTAGAATCTGTTTAAAGAATATTAAGCAATGTAATTTTACAAAATGGTAACCACAAGGTTCCGGTTTTGATTCCCGTACGGATCAAAAATAATATTAAGCATTTTTCTTCGTTTATTTGATTTAAAAAATACATAGGGTTGAAAAAATTGCAGAATTGACCATATCAGGAGATTCATACTTAGAAACGATAAATAAGAACATTGACACGCCTTGGAGCCAGGAGCAAAGTATACAATTATACTCGTAAAACATATTCAGAAAACCAGAAGTGAAAAATAAATAATCCGTTAGTTGTTACAAGCTAAAACAAATGGCGATTGCCAAATATCTTCGAGGTATGATGAACATCTTGCGGTTAGAACAGCCGGGAGCTTTCTAGTAAGAAGTACTCAGAAAACAAGTCAAGCAAAAACAACAAAAACACCTTTAATGTATGTTTAATAATAGATGTAATTGTATTTTATCATCATACACGTGTAAATTACATTAAATTGGTAATTTGGGAAGCCTACATCTAAAAAATTGAATTATCTGTTAAAATTACATTTTTGGTTAGGTATTTGACAGAAAAAAACTTGGCGGTAGAAATACAGTGATTACTTCGTAGTATAACCCTTAAAATACATTTTTAGGTTATGAAGCACGCACAACCGTTGTTGTTCTAGAATTCTGCACTAAATCAAAACCTACATTAACATGTTACTTAGAATACACTTGCTGCGGAAGTACGGTTTTGTCTCAGTTGTTTAATTGGGATTTCCACACATGTACAACCAAAGTACGAGTACATACGTACGTGCGTATTCAAATTAACTGGGTCACATTATTCCGCGCGCCACTATTCTCCTTCTTCGGAATCAGCGTCATTTCTTCATTTTCCTCACGATTCCTTGCAATATCAACGCATTTTCATCGTTTTTGTAACAAGTTATTATGGCTACGCTTATTTTTAAATACTTCCAGCGACTTTAAAACAAAAAGCAGTAGCTAATGCTGCTGCAGTGTATGAAACCAAATTAGTTTTTTCAGCGCAAGTGTAAATGCGCGCGGAATGATGAAGAAAGTCACGTCTGCGTAGACACAATGACTCAAATATTTCCGTGCTTAAATTCTTGCGTGTTAAACAAAAGCAAAGCGAAGAAGAGCAAAACGCAAACGACTTCTTAGCGCACGGTGTGTTTCTTGGTTATTTTTAAATGTTTGTTATGAAGGTCTGCGTGAATCGCACCGCATGACCTACAAAAGCAAACTCGCCGTGTGCATCGTCTTCAACTGTTCACGACAACGACAAACGACAACTGTGAAAACGGCATTTATTGGCTGCAATTTAGAAAATGTTAAAAAACTAAAACTTTTAGAATTCAATTACGCCATGTTCCCAATCATAACCTCAAAATAACTAATTTAAATATAAAAAATAAATTTTTACTTAAAAAACGGGTAAATGTTAATATTTAATTGTACTGAGTTAATTTTAAAAGTGTCGTTGATCGACACGCGATATTCTCATGGTTAAATTATTCGCAAAGCGTAATCCAACTCAAGCATGGGACATGGAACTGCCTTCTTTCTACTAACGGTAGTAAACAATCATATTTTTGCGGTGCGATGTCGTCGTGGTCATAGTCATGACTTTGAATGTTCAAACTGTATTAGTAAAATCGTGAAATTAATATTTCAAAACAATGCCATTTAATTCAATTAATTTTTTTCCAAAATAGAAACGTGATTTGAATTTGTGATATAGTAATATGGTAGCAGATGGTTTACTATAGATCTCTTGCAATATGGCACCCGATTTTGCTTGGTCATGGCGGGGTCATTCAATCGATGGACATTGGATTGTTCTAGACTGCATTCTGAGATCATCCATTGTCGAATTGCGAATTGTGAATTGTGCCATGATAATAATGTGCATTTCATACCATCTGTTGCCATCTGACTTGCAAATTTCTAATACAGGAATTAAAAATGGAAATTTGCGCTGTTGCCAAATCTTAAAAGTCTTTTAAGGTTATGATTATTTATTAATATGATTTGTTTCTTGGTGGAAATTATAAATAATACTTTATTAATGTTTAGATAGTTTGTTTATTGTAATGTGTCTAATAGTTAATCATTGATTTATTTCACAATCGTTGCTGCAATAAAAAACACGCTTTTGATGATTTACGCCGTTGATAATGAAGTTTAAATTCCTTGTAGTCATCACAAAAAGCAAATCGTACGTCGTAATCCTACATTATTTATAACCTCAGCATTGCCATCACCAGAAGTGAGAAATTGAGACCCGTTATAATAATAGGTATTAGACGATTGCCAAATCTATGAAACACAATGTTCACGTTTTTGGTGGCAGTTGCCTGAAGCCACAACGCGTCCGCCTGACAGGCAAATTACAATAACAAAAAATTACGCGTTGTTGTTTGACCACGGATACATTTATTTGAATGACCAATGAATCTCAAATTAAATTGTTTTTTAATTATGGGGTTATGGGATTTAACCACTATACACCACTGTTTTCATCATCAAAAAGTTATAAAATCAAAGAAAAAAAATTTATGAATAAAGGCAATGTTCAAGCATAATCTGTTGACCCGAGGATAGAGAATGACCAGGGGTGAATGGTAGCTGAATTGTAAAATCTCTCAAAGCTCTAAACTCTTCTAAAAGTAAATTTTAAAGTTTTGGTTTTCAATTTTTTAATTTTTTCAAATTTCTTGTATCCAAGAAACAGTTAGGCTGCCATATTTCAAAATGCAATTACCTTTTTAATTCATTGTTTAAATCTGTTGAAATATCTAATTTAAGTAATTATAATTTATATCCAAAGCATGATAATGCCATCGTGCGCATAGGAAGCAATTATAAATCCCATTGCCGGAGAAAATGTAAAATGTTTTCAGCAAATTGCGTTTACGTGTGTTTAGGTTATGTATTTATTGGCAGGATAAGTCATGCGAAATGCAGCGGCATTCAGGCGCTTTCTAATAAATTTTGCGCGACTCAACAACATTCCGAATGCATTCGACGTGCATTTCGATATGGTAATTTACACAAACAGCCACAACACTACTGTGACTCTCTATGACTATCCGGTCAGTAATTATTTATCAACGTATTGGCGTATCGTATCAATTTAACAATAAAACCCAGCGTCTATTTGACATGAGAACTAACTGATGTTGCTGAATAAATCAGGCGCAAAACCAACATTTTCTGTTTTCAGATGATTAGAAGTGCAATCAAGAGTGAATAAAAAGTTGCATAGAAAGTAAAATGATTTAATCAAGCAGAAAAATAAACATTTAGCATAGGAAAAATACAAAAATTCGCGAATGATTTTTGTGTGAAGAATTTATTGACATTCCAATGAGATAGGCACGCCGCCATCGAATAACAATTAGTTTAGAATCACGTGTCATTGCTTTTAGCACAACGCTTCAAAACGGAATTATTCTTGAGTATACAAGGACCGTTAGGTTGATTTCGTATTCATTGATTGCGATTATCTTCATAAATGCTTTAAGCAATAAATTAATCATTTGTTACCACTTATAATATGACACATAACAAAATTGTGCGCAGGAATTTAATACTCGTAATAAATTTAATGTTTTTTAATTACCTTAAGGTATGATATGTGTTTAAACAGTACATTTACGTTGTTTTATAAAATTTTTGAGTAAATTAACCTAACTTTTGCTTAAAAATGACCGGAATGTCAAAAATATTAAACTAACCTCAAAAATAAAAATATTTTATATTATTATTTTAATGTGTTTTTGTTTAATGCCAAACTCATTAAACCAGGAATGTGTGATTATGTGATGATTATTAGATTGTTAGCTTGAACTTGATTTTCATCCTTGCCGAGCGCGTTGAAACTATTGATCAACTGCATGATCTCTTCGCGTATACCGCAGAAGTACGCGTATTTACTTCTTTTGCTTCTTCTTTTTCGTTACTTGCCTCCGCATTGTGCGCGAGCACATCCACGAAGTAGAATGGTGCACAACATATGGCAAGCGTATGAATATGAATTTGATGAATACGTTTTATTTGAATCGTCTGCCGGTGCAACACAAGCGATGGTTAGACTACAAGCAAATTAACAACTTCAAACGCTCGTAAACGTTCGACGCACGATGCGATGATTTTTTTGTTTGTACTTTTTTATTTATTAATAGCAGTATAACTGTTTTCTATTGCAATTATTACAATTACTTCTATTGTTGCTGAAATATGCCAAAATATTTCTTGAGCGAATAGATATTTTGTGAAAATTAATGTAATGATCAATTTGATATATTTCATGTTATGAAATACAAGAGAAAATTTTTCACATACGGTTTTTATTATAATTGTGAATTTGTGTTTTTAATTTACACAATTACGTAATTTTTGAAATGAATAGCAATTGAATAAAATGGCAATTTGTTTCTTTTAACACTATTACATTTATTGGCCATATTAAAACACATTTTGCATAATATGCAACACATCATTTTCTGCCTGAATCAATTTGCAGAATATAATAACGTAACTGGCTCATATTACATTCGATTAACGATTTAATTACCAGGAACACTCACATTATTACATTAAAAAACACAAATTAATTTGCCATTTCACTTTTACTTTCTATCAAGTGATTACAATTTATTTATGTATTTTAATTTTAATTGAATTAATTTAAACTGAATTACGTCGCAAAGAAAAAAGACACAGAATTACCTTTGACAATATTAAATACAATTAATGTATAATTAGATAAAGTACCTAAAATGTACAAAACAGTTGAAGGTATCGCTCTGTAGCGATAAATTAAAACCATGAGACTTTGGTCAAGCTGGTTGGAAGACTGCCAAATAAAAATTGATGTAAAAATCTATAGACTAAAAAGATGCATCGTTCATTACAATAAAACTAACCCAGAGTTTCTGAATGTAACTCAATGCACAGTTATACTTTCATTAAATGCCATTGACATAGAACAATTATTTCTGATCGAGCCTTATAATTAAAGATCCCACTTCTCTAACAAACGAACAATAATTGAGAACGTGCTTTGAATTATACTATGCGCAGCACTCCTAGTTTATAAATTATCACTTTTTATTGATATCATAAGTTGAGGTTAATTTTTCCACCTGTTTTTGCATAACCAAACATTACAGCATGGCGGTGTATGGCGGCGAGGAACGGAAATATGCGTACACCCTTAGGCGCATCATTATTCATTCTCGTTTGCGGCTTGTGAATAATTCAGATGCCAGCGTAATTATTCTCGGTGCACGTGCGCCGTCTTATGCCTTGCATCGCAATGTTCTACTGTTATGAATCTTAATAATGATACGCGCAAAGGTGTTGTTATAAGATGATCTTAAATCACATTAAGTATTACGCATCGGTCACGGAAACAATCAGGCGCTAATAATACCACATTAATTAGAATTAGTGCTCTGGGTAACTTGATATTCTATTTTAACGGCACATAGAAGCATTTGCTTAGGAAATAATTATTTTAACCTCACATAAACAGAAGCTGAACTTTAATTTTTTGTCGGAGAAGTCAATAACTCAAAATTACAAAGGAAAAGGCTTAAAAAGCAAACAAATCATATAATTTACTTAGTGAAAACTATTAATATACTATAATAATCATCTTATTGTTTATATTTCATCAAATAAATGGTTGTAATATGAAAAATGGAACAAAAAGAGCAAAAATTCACATTTTTTTAAATAAATTGCCACAGAACTATTGAAAAAAAAGAAAATATCTCTACCTAAATATATGTTAAATTATTTACATAAATAAATTAAAATATTAATATAGAGTAGAAGCAATTCGCAACATTGATAAATGATATCTTCTTGTGTTCGTATTTCACTCGCCTTGCGCGTTTCTTAATGACAAATAGAGTTTTTACAGTTATATTGTCCGTGTCCGTGTCCGTGCTACGCTTCTATTAAACGTTACACCTTCAACTCAGCCAGCAGCATCGAACAACATTTAAGTGGTTGAGTGTTAAGTTAAAGCAAAGCCTTGAATCCCGATTCAACTTGACTCTCATGTCTCATTCCACCTGCTGGTTTCATCTGTCGAAAGAATGTTGTTTATTCGAATTTATTCCGCGTCGGGAATATTTATTACATTCGTATCACATGTAATCACATGTGAACCTCACATGAATATAAAAATGGAGTTTTCTTTAATAAAAAACCAAAAATAAATCAACTCATTGCGTAACTTTATACAATTTGTACAAATTTATCTTTTAAATCGAAAAATTTAATGTGAAAAATGTGATAATTCAAGAAACTATTTAATAAATATCATAAAACACTTATTAACGGTATAATTTAATTACAACGCAAAAATTTACACGCAGAAACTATAAATCTATAGATTAATATTGATAGAATATTAGAAATATTTGGCTGTGCGTTGAAAATTTCAAGTTAAGTCTTAAATCCTTCTTGGAATGAAGAAAATCACCGGTTAAGTGTAGCTAGTTAGCTGTGAACTTGGTTAACCTGATAGATTGAAGCATTCACAATAAAAGTACCTCTATTTTAGCTACCCTATATAGCCGCGGTCGATGTCATCGCCGAGTCAATTCTTAGAAGTCACATACCACATTCGCAAATGGCAGTGCTGTTCAAACGCTCAAAGACTTTTCTCAAACGCGCGACGTGGTCGAATGCACGATCGTTATATTCGTTATCCAACAGTGACTCAAGATTTTCTGCTCAACATCACGTACACAATATAATCCATCAACATGTATTTTTTTGGATTAAATAATCTCAAAATTGTATGCGCGTCGTTTTTGTCATCATAAACGAAAGTTATTCATTCCGCAAGTGGGAAAAATGCAAATAAAAAACGTATTTGTCATTATTATTCACTTTCCGTACTTCAGTTTAGTCTATCATCCATTTCATCTCATCTCATCTTATTCATCTCATGCATAAATAATGTAAGATCCCGTAGCTGTTGTTCAAAAGTAGTCTTAGAATGTAATTTGTCTGAGAGTAAATATCTGTGACTAAATCGAGATGCGCCCATGTCTAGAGAACAAGACAACGAATGCCAAATTGCACTTTCTACTCTCATTCCTCCGCTGATGAAGCTAAATTCAAGTTCCAGCGAGAGAAGAAGAGTGGAATAAGTGCCCCAGCATGCGAGATGATAGAATTGCTTGTTCTACAGACAGCGACGATAATAATTCAACTCGCGGAATAAATATGTCACCGTAAATGTGACATCCATCTCTCTTTCTTTATTCAATTCGAGTGTTAATCATCATTATCATGTAAAACAGGGTGTATCGGATTAAAATCACGTGACAAACTAATATTACAATCGCAGGAAACAAAGAAACGCAATTCTGAGAGGTAAATATCAGAAATACAGCACAGATCAATTTGATTGTAATTGTTAATTAGATTCAGGCGATCTAATCTATTTTGTGTGGATTTTACTGAGAGTGAAAGAGTAATTAAAGCAGCTGGAAATAGAAAACAAAAGAATAGACATGTGCAATTTAGAAAAAAGTGCGTAAATGTGCAGCAAATGTCAAAACAAGCGAAAGTACATCTATTGCCTTTGTTACTGTTGTTTGCTAATGTTAAACCGATGTCTGCAAATTGCACCGCGGTGAGAAAACAACATTTTACCGTTGCATTATCACGGGAAACTCAAATTTTCCTGTCACAGTTGATTTTACTTTCTTTTTTTAATATTCAATCTTGTAGACAAACGAACTTTAAATGCAAATTTGTTTTTGATGTTGATTATATTTCCTCGCGTATATGAATACCTGTGTGAAATATTCACACACAACACAAAGCTGTGCCTAAAATTCATTACTACCGATTAAAATTTCAATTATAAACTAGAATATGATTTCAGTGTGTTAGGAATGCGTGAGTGTAGTCTAGTCGCGTAAAACAATAAACATTTTTGGGTTACTCTGACACACTGACTTAATTTCCATGCGGTGTGATGTTTAATCATTTACTGTGTTTAAATCTCGAAAGCTAAGGATTGTTTTTGTTACAGTTTTGAACGTGGCCGCGGGCAAAGCGCCGATGCAAATCAGCACAGAAGCCGGCGGCATTCCGCAGAAAGCTATCGATGGCAGCACGAGTGCTTTCTTCAATGGTGAGACATGCACGTTGACCAAGACGGAGAGGACGCCTTGGTGGTATGTCAATCTGCTTGAACCGTATATGGTTCAATTAGTTCGACTTGATTTTGGCAAACCATGTTGTGGTAAGTAGACAAATTGCAATGAAAACAATTTTTTCGTAATTTTTATGCCAAAAAATATTAATCTTTAGAAACTGGCTTAGATTTTATTACAAACAATTTCTAATTCAACTGAAATACGATTCATACTGATAATAATTGCAAATTACCCACATACAAATATTTCCTATGCAGTTTTCCGCCTGCATTCGAGCTCAGCAAATAAATTGAAATAAATTTATTTAAATGAGTAAAATAAGCGCACTTTCTCCAACCATATGCCCAAGCATCTCTTAAATTCAACATTCTGTACGACTGCAGTCTGTAAATTATTCCATGTTAATGACATTAATAATTCCAAGTTTAAATTGTCATGTTTTGCTTTCCTGGGAACTAAACTAAACTACTTATACGCAAATAAAATCATTTTCTTGCCTGCAATAGTTCCGGTTGCGGATTCAGATTAATTTTATTATTATTATCGCAGGGTCAAAGAAACCGGCGACTATTATAGTCCGCGTGGGCAATAACCGTCCAGATTTGGGCACGAATCCGATCTGTAATCGTTTCACTGGTTTTCTCGAAGAAGGCCAACCGTTGTTTTTGCCCTGTAATCCGCCAATGCCCGGTGCATTCGTTAGTGTCCACTTGGAAGCACCAGCCGCTGCTCAGTTGAGTATCTGTGAAGCATTTGTCTACACGGATCAGGCTTTACCAATCGAGAGATGTCCACAATTCCGTGATCAACCACCTGGCAGCACAGCCACTTACAATGGCAAATGTTACATATTCTACAACAGACAACCTTTGAAGTTCCGAGATGCGTTGTCATTCTGTAGAAGTCGTGGTGGTACCCTGGTAGATGAGAGTAATCCAGCGCTACAAGGTTTCATAAGTTGGGAATTGTGGAGGAGACATAGAAGTGATGCCAGTGGACAATATTGGATGGGAGCCATCAGAGATAAACAACATGGCGGATGGAATTGGTTGAGAGGTGAAGAGGTTACAGTCTCCTTCTGGAATCTACCAGTTGGAAGTGGAGATTGTTCAAGATACGATGGTACCAAAGGATGGTTATGGTCTGATACAGATTGTACAATGCATTTGAACTATATTTGTCAACATCGTAAGTGATTCTAACCTCAAAATTACGGAAAATGTTTTAAAATGTTTTTATATAAAATTATCTAGAACCCAAAGCTTGTGGAAGACCTGAACAACCTCCTAACTCAACAATGGTAGCACAAAACTTCAACGTCGGTGCAAATATTGAGTACAGTTGTGATGAAGGACATTTGCTGGTGGGTCCAACGACCAGAACATGCCTGGACACTGGGTTTTATAATGAGTTTCCACCGGTGTGCAAACGTAAGTGATGATTACTGATTACTGCCTGATATCGTCTGTCCTTAATGTGAAAATACGAGAAGTAAAGGTGAAAGGTTTATAATATGATTTTATCACTTCTGCAGGCATTCAGTGCGGATATCCGGCAGATATAACAAATGGCGAGTACCACTTGGTGAACGATAGCGTTGGATATCTCAGCCGGGTGATCTATTCCTGCGACGAAGGTTATGAAATGGTTGGACGCGCACAGTTAGCATGTGACATCGATGAAAGATGGAATGGACCTCCACCTCATTGTGAATGTAAGCTCAAGACATCACTCATCATCAAATATGCTTATCTATAATTGTTTTAATTTTCATGTAGCGGTACGTTGTTCACCACCTGGTGATATTGCAAATGGCGGCTTTACTGTAAGCAACAAGGAACTCATCTTTGGTACAATTGTTGAATACTCGTGTAAAAACGGATACAAAATGGTTGGATCACGAACACTCACATGTCTTGCCAATGGACAATACGATGTCGTACCACCAGTTTGTCAAGGTATATTTATTGCTATTAGTAATTGTTGCTGAAACGTCCTCACTTGTTTGTCTGCATGCAATGTAATTGTTGATTCTTATCGTTTTTACCTATTGCAATGCGTGTGTAATGAGCGCTTTGCTTTGCTTGTTCATAGCAGAAGAAGTAATCTCAACCGGAAGTCCGATAATAGTAAAGAGCACGACGCGTTTGCCAACCTCGCGATTTAGAACACGACCCACGCGACCTGTGCCGACGACAATCAGAGCGGAAACCGAAATCGTGCGGCTGGAAAAGACGAAGCGCCCGCCGTTCAGACCCACCGCCACCACCACTGAAAGAGCCACAACGACAAGTTTCGTCAACACGAACAATATTTTACTGGCGGCGCATCCGCAGGATAATGAGATTGCTGGTAGCAGTAACGTGCAACATGGCGAGACGCCCAACGTCAATATTCCTCTGTCGATCGACGGCGCGGAAAGAAGAGAACCGTTTGGTGCCAAACTCAACATGGGCGCCATCATTGCGCTTGGATCTTTCGGTGGTTTTGTTTTCCTGGCTGCGATTATCACAACGATAGTGATATTGGTGCGAAGGTGAGTTGAACATGAGTTTATGAATGCATAGGTGTCAAGTAAGTTCCAATGAAAGCCAGGAAGAACGACAGGAAGAATTTTTTGATTTAAATTTGCAATTATGTTCCAAAATGTCTCTCCCTGATATAAATTGGAACTTTTTTGGCAAACTTGTAATTTATTTACTTCTTAGCTGTAAATATTCTTGTATTTTATTTTTCTCTCATTTTCTGTTTGACACTCAAGTACAAAAAGAACAAACAACTTCTTGAAATGTAGATACCTACAAGTTTGTTTAAAACAGATCCATTTATATTGTATATTTTGGTTTGAATCAGGTAAGACATTGTACAATCAATGATAATACAACTAAATTTGATTGTTACTTAAATACCTGTAAATGTAATCTCTAATCTATGTGTTCTTGTGCTCGTGTGGTTTTTGGTGTCGCAGTGCGAGTGCGTCGGCACGGTCTTCACGCCGTTTGCCGCACGCCAGCGCGATGCCCTCCCGATGGTACACCCTGCTGGCGCTGCCCTTCCCCGACCAACAAATCGGACGTCGCGAATTCACAAGGAATTACCGGACGCATCGGGCCGGCTACTTCTCCAATCCCATCTAGCCCGATACTAATAGCTCATAAAAAAACACAAAAAGCCAAAAAACACCAATCAAAAACCCCAAAACTGTGATTCGAATTCGTTAAATCTATAAAAAGTACGTTCCACTTTCATGTATACTCATTTTATTTATAAATGTTACCACAAACTAAAGTAAAGGAAGCAAATCATAAACAAAAAAAAGAAGGCGCAAGGCGTTTAATTGCGTCCAATTAATTTTTAGTTTGGATTGGCTGGGAACTGGGGCTGGATTGGAAAAAAAAAGAAATATAAAAATGCTCGCACTGCACCCGATTACCGACATCAACACTTTCACACTGAATGAACTCAAAACTCTTTAGCTGAACATTAGTAGACAATAATCGCACCTGTACTTTTTAGCACTCGTTTGTTACTGTTTTTTTGTTGTTTTGTTTGTGTATTTGTTTGGTCTTTTGTTCTTCCATTCTATCGTAGTTCTTCGTAGTTGTGGTTCACACATTCGGCACCAACTACTCGTACAATTTGTGTTTTAGTTTAGTTACCTGTTACGTGTATATAGCTTTTAATTTTCGCATATTTTTTGTTTTGTTTTGTGGGGCATGTTGTTTGTGTTATAAGAACGCTTTCGTTTTGTTGTAGAAATCGTAGTGCCAAACATTATCGCCACCGAGCATCGCCGGACTGCAATACAGTGGCGTCGTTCGACTCATCGAGTTCGGAGTCACGCAATGGTTTAAATCGATATTATCGACAAGCTTGGGAGAATCTGCATGAATCAGCCGGAAGTAAAGGCTTAGGCGGTATGAAACCGGGTTCCGGGTCGCCATTACGCCGCAAGGAGACGATGGATGAGCCGTCGTATAATGCACGACATGGCGACCGTCATGGCGACGGTGGTGGGATGCCTGCTGGCGAGAAGAAACGACATCATCATCATCACCATCACCACGACGTACGGCCACACAAGGAAAACCGTGAATGGAGAGAAACGGGGCGGCCGCGTGATCATAAGCGATACTAGAACACAAAATGATCGATCATCTATCGATTTGTGTCAACACGGAACAACGAATCAATTTGGTTCGATGATGATTAATTGTACATGACGATTATAATATTTATTATTCTAATCACTTAGCGTTAGCAAACTGCACCTAAACAACGAAGCTGTTCAGAGCAGACGAACGAATCGAGATTTTATTTATTTTGATGTAATGTTAGGGATGTTGAGTATACAGAAAATTTTAATGTTGAATTCCTTGGCCTTGCTTTATAGGATGACTTTTATTGTGCGACGGTTTGTGCATAGGAAAATAAAGAAAGGCTAATGCAATTCATAAGTTAACCAAGAACGAAACAGGGACAACGAAATATTTACGAACAACTAGATAACGACAAGTTTATTTACATCAGGAAAACCACACCGAACACGAAATCTGTGTCCGATAATTGCATTCCGAGAAGTATTCTTAAACTTCATAAGCTCCCTAAGTGTCTTGGTTGTTGGGAGTCATGGAAAGTTGATCCAATCCAAACCTGAGACTTAATCTTCTTTGTTATATCTTATTATAACTAAACTATTTCTTGATATTCTCAGTGTTTAATGTCGGAATGCAATTTTTGAACACTTCAAAGTGCCATTTGAATAGGCATTGAAAACTACAAATCGAGTTACATCACATCACACCACGCCGCTCCAAATCAGAAGGAAAATATTTAAAATAAAACACATCAATTTGTCGCGACAGAAACAAGTAATATTTGTATCACTGAAGCTGAAGATACAAATTAAATATTATTAATGATAACAGACGTAGTACATAGATGGTATGATTGTTGGAATGACTGATGACTGACTTTCCAAATAAACGACAGGCAATTTCTTTCTATGTGTATTATAACTGTAATATAACTATGATATGTAAGTGTACATGTAGCTAAGCATGACTCTCCAACAATGTTTCATTAATTTCCAGTTTTAGCGTCGTCAGTTGAGCGGTATTTAATAGATTGAAGACGATATTGTACTTTATTGATTTATTGCAAATTGAATTATGATAAAATAAATATTATATTTATGTTATATTTTATTGTTTCTGTCATTTTGCAACCAACTTGTCTTGGGAATTACATTGTTAAGGTGCCGAGCACGTTTATTAGCACCCACTTAGTAAATTTTAATCCGATTAGGGGCAGACAGGGTTTTCCGGTGCGTTAAATAAGTAGTTAAAAGATTAAGGCCTTCAATTTCACACAAATTCACCTAATGGTGTAAAATTTTATGTAGTTGGTAATATCTTCCTAGAATATCTTAAATGCACCCGCACCCCCACAAAACTAGAACTAGAGTAATATAAATAAAGCATCGTGACGTATCCAATTTCATATCAGTTGTTACGAGCTGTTTACACCGTCTAAAAGTTTTACTTGAACGCGAAGTTGAAGTAAATTTGTGAAAAGTGATGGCCGAGTCGTATTCAATCGCGAACATAGAAAATGAGTTATCTGTGATCAACCTTGAAGACATTGATACCAAAACTGAACTACAGTTGGCTGCTGAAATCGGTCAGTTGCTCCTAGAAAGAAATCAAGTGCTTGAATCTACTCTCGAGAAGAATCAGCAACTTATTTTCGAACAACAAGCGGAAATCAACAAACTTGTTAAAGCATCACAACATCTTCAAGATATTAATGACAGCAGTCAGAAGACTTCGGAGCAACTTGAACAGAGTTTACTAGAGTGTGAACGTTATAATCAACAATTACTAAAATTAAGAACTGTGGATCAAGATAAATTGAAAGAATTGAAAGAACGGAAGGAGTTTCTGGAACATCGTTGTGAAACTCTAGAAGAATCTTATGAGTTTATCGAAGACAAATTAATGAAAACTCAAGAAAAGGTAATTCTTTGTGATAGTGCACCACTCAATACAGTGTCTATATCCAGTGATTCTGCTATGGAAAGTGAACTTGTTAATGAATCGCCTCGTTTTGATGAAAATCGTTTATCAAAGAGATTGGAATATCTCTCCACTGATTTAACGGATACCAAATGTGAGATGGCTATGTATCATTCAAGAATGGAAAGACTGGAATCTCAATTGTCTATGCTTCTGCAAAAGAACATGGAATTAGAAGATATCCTCGCTTCCAAGAGATCCACGTTGAAGTCTCCTACAAGTACGTCGGGCTGCAGTTCAGATCCATATAAAAACTCCACCAGTTTAGCTGAAGAAATTGAAGCAGCAAAAATGTCACAGAGCATGGAATTGTTTGCTGACGGTTTACTCACAACTTCAACACCTCCAAAACTAAAGCAACCTAAACGTGATGAGATTGACAATGAAACAGATACAGTTATTGATATATCTACCGAAGAAGATGTTGATCGTGTAGTTCAGAAGAAAGATAAAACAAAGAAACATAAGACAAGAAAGGCAGCATATACAAAGAGACTGAAAGATGTATCAATGCCAATGGATGAACATATTGAACCATCAGAACACAAAGTTCGAATTAATGTGAGTATCGAGATTGAACCAGATGAGAACAAACGCAGGAAAGAAACCAAACTTTGTCATCACTACAAATCGGGATATATTGTGCGCACTATGTCAGCAATCAAGAAGACTTTAGTGACTTGTCTGAGCAAAGTTTTAGGATCTATCATTAATCGACCACTGAACTATTTAGGAACTTTGCTTTTATGGCACAATAAAAGGTGGATCGAACGCAATATTAGAATTATGTAGTATATGTAGTTAATATTAAGATTATTATGTGATAAGACAATACTTGTTAGAATAAAGTAAACTAAAATTATGACTCTTGTCTATTTGTTCATTACCTGCTATATTGAATGTATCAAACTCAAGATTAAAAAAAATTATAATCTAAGCCATGAATCAATTAAATTTGCAACTTGTACTCTGGCTGCTTTCAGTGCTGGTAAATCATCGCCACGTTCTGGATACATATTAGCGCAGTGAGCAGTACCTTCGATGTAAATTGCAGGTGCATTTTGATTCACAGTCTTCGTGATTCCTAACGCATGCCACGGATCAATTGACCCATGCACAAAGACAACATTTGAAACATCAATATTCAAAGCTCCATATAAAATATTTGTTCTTTCTACTGCATCCTCCAAAAACGACGCGTTATATTTCATTCCGAAAATATCCACACATTGTTGAATGAAAAAGTCTGCAGGGAATGAATCGCCAAATACTTGTGGTTTATAAGTTGATGATTGGAAGAAGCCAAACTCTATGCATGTTTGATATGTCCACTGACGTCCACCTTCAGCAGTTTCACTATCCCAGCTGATGTTTCTAAGAGAAGCAATCATTTTGTCATATTTGTAATCTAAGCATGTTTGATTAGTTGCATTTAAAATCAATGAGTTAACTTCAGCAAGACGTGGAACTGGTGGTCCCAAGTCCTGATTTGTCATGATATCGCATAATGTGTCGATGGTGATGTTATTACTGCCTTGGCGATTATCTTTATTGTATTGAACTACTCCAGCAAAGTTTCCAGCCAAAACCTCAAAGAAGTTGGCAATATCATTGTGATTGTCAATAGACTTCTCAATAGGGTCACAAAGATTAAATTTCTGGTTGATATTTCGTTGGCCGACCATGTGAAGCAAAAGAATTCCAACTTGTTGAGTGCCTTGTTTCACAGCTGACACACAATCATCACTGTAAGTTGCCAGTGCTTCATCAACCACTCTGAAGTAGTCAAAGAAGTCGATTTCAGCTAGAAGTGGACCACTGGCTGACATTGCACCATGAACAAGATGAGGATATTTATTTCTGAGCCATGCTGCAAGTGATCCAGGGTATGATCCACCAAAAGCAATCCATTTCACATTGGATGGAAGTTTGTATTGTTCATTCATTGATGAAATAAAGTATGCCAAATCAGCTAGGGCTTGTTGACTGGTAAGATATTGAAGATTTTTGGTGCTCAAGTCTCTGGAACAATAAATAAATCATTTTAAATGAATGTATAAAAGCTAGTGGATTGATTGTTTAAATATTACTTTGTTGGATGACTTTTTCCATAATATCTGTGCTCTAGTTGAAAGCACAATGCACCAAATTTCTTAGCATAGTCAATCCATGTGCCTTGAGTCATCCATTTGATTGTAGCTTCTCCTTCACCACCAATCATCAAGAAAACTGGACCTCCTTTTTGAGCATCATAGAACTCATCATTGACATAATATCTCTAACAAAACATGTAAATATTAGATTGTTATTTATCTTAGATATAAATCAAATAATATACCTGCTTCCATGCTCTAAGATCATTAGGTTGGAAGTGATCAAGCTTCTGTGTGAACCATTCTGTTGAAACATGATCATTTGATATTCTTCCTTGTAACTTAACTCCACGAGGAGGATATCCTAGATTACCACCGACTCCTCTTCCTCGATAAAAATTCCTCCATGCATGATTAATATTAACTAAACTTAAGAATAAAATGAGACCTAGTGCTTCGTATAACCTCATCTTGAAACGACCTCAAGAATCACAGTTTTTAACACTTTGAAGTCTCAAAACACGCAGTAAAATAAACTCGAGCGTGTCTTTTCGTTCTTTTTATACTTTAGCATCACTTGCCACAACTGATAAAAGGTTATCGTGCTAGAAATTGATAAATAAAGAGGACCAAAAATGCGGCCGGTGTAGTGCTTCGATGAAGTGTTGTGTATATGGATTTATTGTTGTGGTTGCGTTTTGTTTGAATTTATTACAATTATATTCTTATCTAGTCTTTTGTTATAAAAATGTCATCAATTATTCAAATATTGCCCTCATTCCAGTTGAACTTTTGCAATTTAAGATTAAATTATTTATCAATTAAATGCAAGAATTAATTTTACAGATTTACTTCAAGTTTTTTGATAAGATCCTCCAGTTTGAATGTGCAGTTCCCTTTCCATTCATTGTTATCACCTCCAATTATCAACTCCAGTAACTAGGAGTAACTGGCTTACGTGGTTTCAAACTGAAATTCAAACAGAAAAAATGCATTAAAACCAGTATGTAAAGTAAAAATGATTACTAAATACTATTTCACTATTTTTGCTTGGGTATTAGAGAGCGTTTTGTTTCAGTTTTAATTTAATATATTAGTTTAGTTTTCCTTCTTTTTAGTGTTCAACTCACATCGTTCATTCTCCGCGATTCCCGATAGATACAGTAGAATAAATCTCATAGATGGCAGCAGCAGGCTAAGAATAAACATTTCTTAACTTTAAAACTCGCAGGTGTTATTTACGCATCGAAGAAATAACTGCTATGTAGTTTCTCTGCAAAATGTTCAATTATTTCGCTGTAATGTTACATTTCTACCAATTTTAATTCCTATTTAATATTTTAGCCAATTTGACAAATTATATCGCTCCACCTTAAAATATTTTCATAAAATTAGTCCATTACATATTAAAGTATGAAGTAAACATAATTTTGCAATTATTTGTATTCAGAAGATTTATGATATTTCATAAGAAGCACGTACCTTTGATGCACGCTTAATTTCAGTGCGCAAATTGTACTCATGCGATATCAACAAGCGCATAAACAAAAACACACCGCCGACGCGGACGACTCGGCGCTAAAAATTAGAGCGCATCGTGAAACGTGATTCGAGATTTTTGCACAATTCATATTCGGCATCACGTAATTTATTAGATCGCTTTACTTACACCAATGATGCCACGACACGACAGCGGAATTTTGAACCGCACACTCGCATCTCTCGCATCTCCTGCCGAGTGATGTAATTACGAATTTATTATTATAACGAACCTCCTGCGTTTGCATCAGGAAATGTAATCATCTAGGTAAACAAAGCAGTACATACACACAGTCGTGCGTCGTTTAGCAAGGCGACTTGTTAGTTGTTGTGTTTAAACAATTACCAAATTTACAAAATGCCAGCGGAACGCACAATGGAGCGTGTCTGGAGGCGCGACACTGCAATGTTGCGTGTTTGTTCAACAAAAGCAACCGCGATTAGAACACACAAGGCGGAGAGGACGCAGAGATGAAAAGAATTGCGTTCGCAATGATCGCAACGAGACGAGAACCATCAATTAACTAGATTAATATCAGACTTAAGACGATTCTTTTCGTTGCCTTTTTGCGCGCACATACTCATTCCGTTGGAATTTTCACAATGTGGGTTTTGCATGTAACAAATTGAAGGGTTAGTCATACAAAAACTATCATTGTATACTTGCAACATAACATCAAATTAAATTTAATTTTAATTTAATTTCGAATTTTATTTAATCAATCATCTATCAACATACATTTTTAAATTCAAACTGTCATCAATTAAAAACAAGATATCCTAGAGTTTTATTATACAATATTCAGGTATATGTAATCCGAAATTAATTGATTATCACATTTATTACATTGGACAACTATCTCAGTCCGTAACGATTCATCTTCATTTATTCAAGTATGTTTTGAAGTAATTATGACAAGTGATTTTATTTATTGTACAAGGTGAAGAAGCTAAACGAATTGCATTGCATTGAATTACAACGAAAGGCGGAAAGATGAAATGCGTGAGCGTTTTTATTACACAATTTCATGTGTAATACTGTTTAATGTGATGTAACGCAAATAAATATAATTGCAAGCGACACTTTTTAATCTTCGCGTTCATACGTGACACATTAATTGCCATCAGATCAAGCAGCCATTATAAAAAATATATGAAATAGGAGTTAAAAGTTAATATAATAAATTAAGTAATCATTTACTTCATTCAGGCGGTGTAAGCAAGGATAATAATTACTCCAAAATAGTTTTGAATGGATACTGGTTGAATCTTTTTATATTTTTATATTTCAAGTGGTGTAATATGATGTATAATGTTTATTCAAGAAGTTTTTGTTAATGTAACCTGATTTAAGCTAATTTTATGAAGAGTTTTTGTCAAATTATTATTGTATTGCAACATTATCACATTTCTCTACCTAGGCAATAAAGTAAAAGACGTTTTACTTAAAGTTTTTACTTAATTAATGCGCGTTTGTTTTTTGAGTGATTAAAATAACGCTTTTCTTTGTTTAATTTTGAAACGGTCGTTAAGTCGGATGAACTTTATTGAATTAAAAAGTGCACCCGAGTTAAAACATTGTGCAAGTTTAATTAATTATAATTAAACGTAAATCTCGCACAATTTATGTGCGCAATCGTACGCACAGGCGATTAATTAGTTCGGTTGTTGCCGACATGTGAATAGGCGCGCATATTGTTGAAAAGTTGTTACTTTCAGTTTAATTGATTTTGACCATACGCACACGGCACATCAGCTCATCAGCGCCGACCAGTAATGCTGGAAATCATGTAGATATTCAATTATGAGACATTTACGCGTTTACACTTGGGTTATTTGCTATTTCACGCTTGACCGGAGGCCACCGGAACTTGCACAATATAAATTATTAATAACTTTATTACCCACGTTTTAAATCATTCGATTAAGCAGGAATATAATATTATATTGAGTTGTAACTTATTATAAATAATTAATATAATTTAATTTAATATACGTGATAAATTTTAACAAAAAAATCAAAAAGTTGAAAAAAATAATTGTATTTGTTTATTAATTGATTTTATTCAAATTTACTGGACCCACAATGCAGGGTATTAGTTAAAGTCAGCAAAAAGGCGGCGAAAAGCTTTAAATTTGAATATTTGGACACGCCTTGATCCAAGCTGGATGAGAGGCAGTCAAAAAATGCCTCAAAACAAAGATTAAATGTGTTGAACTGTAAAAAACACTAAATTTGAGTTTCTTGCCCATAAATGGTGACAATCGCCTAAAAGTCTCAAAATCTAATAAAATCTCAATGCACTGATAAATCACTCATAACCCTGCGCGAAATTCTGAACGATGTAACGAGCATCTACTCTACTGAAATTACGCAAATCTACAAACGTCTGGGATTACGTAAAATGTTAATTTCTTAACTTGCATTATTAGCCGCAGATCAACTTACACTGCTCTGATTTTAGCATTAACCCACAGGCCACTTGTTTGCTTCGCTGGCGTACGTAGGTAAATATTAAAATCGTTCAACGTTTTGCAAGTGCATCATCACATGATGCCCCCGCGCGTTTATCGCTCGCATCTTTCTAGTATGTACCTGCGCCAACCACACTGACCTAATTGTTCTAGATTTTCGACTTGGAAGACACACAACTATCTAATCTATGCCGGCAAATCACCGCGCCGGCATGCGCAGCGAGTTTATGAGTAACGAGTGCTTTTTGAATGTGTGAAATCCAAAAAATATCAGGTTACACGAAATTGCGCGCCGCGCCATTCGAATTATAAAGAAACCAGCATGATAATACTGAAACCAGGCGAGCAATTCGCATATGCACGATTTTGCTTACTTAAATATCTATGATGTATGGTGAAAGTATGTGTGTTTCTTGCGTTGCACACATTTTTGATGTTTATACTCGTGTGTGTCAAGTGAGCACAAAGATTCAGATTGAATAACCCAAATTGTACCTTAATTTAAAGTAATTTACATGTCCAAAATGGAAGCAAACGTAATGGCAAATAATTTCTAGTTATGCTGATGTTACAATCAATCTTTATTTCCATCCAAAACAAAACCGATTAGATTTACACGCGTATCAAATTTGATTTTGACTTCAAATTTTTAGCAAAGATTAAAATTACATAAATCTGTCTGTAAAAATACTTTTACTTTATTATTGGAAAATAATTCGTTTGAATACAATCGAAAAATCGTGTACGTTTGTAAGCGTGATTGGCATAAAACGGCTAAGCATGAATTTATTACCGTATTACGCGACTGAGTGAATGCATTTTTCGCCAAATCCGACGAAATATTTGAATAAGCGTGAATTGACTATTTTTTATCGCCGATTTGAATCTGTAAATCTTTTTATTATTGCTTTGCGAACATGGGTCAGATGAAAAGTATTAGATTTCGATGTTTTCGATTATTTTGAGCAATCACACGGTAAGTCGTCATCTCGCCGTTGAAATGAGATGATTTTATAGCGCATTGCAACATTATAAGCATCAACACTCGACAATTGACCAAGTCACCCGTTCACATTCCAACATGCAGCAACAATGTGCCCATTACACACTGTAAAATTAGATGCAAATGGTTAAAATGACTAATAAACGCATTTAAATTAAATATTAAACACTAGAAGTTATATTTAATGCATGACTTTGGAAATTACGATTTGTTAAATGATATCGCGTGAAACAATAGCAACGGAAATAAAAATTTCGTCAAGATATGCTCGTCAAATGTGTAATACTTACTTGAGGTTATGTTAGAAGATGAATGTGAGTAAAAGTACTTTCAGGCTCAAAAGTGGATGAGTTTTAAGATGGTTTCGTGAAGTGTGCAAGACGCTCAAGAGGAGTTTTCGCAATCATCTTCATATTCGTCGAAATCAAATTTCAACGTCGGTTTCTTTGCATACGTTTACGCGGTGTTTTTTTCGCGTCGGCAACTTTGCGAATTATTTTTTCACTTTCATATGGGTAAAGCACGTAATGTTGCGTTAGTAATTCACGCGTGGTTATCGACGGCTAGGGATTGCGAGTTTAATGGTTAATTAGGAGATTATCACTAATTTTCGATAATTATTTTACGATCATAAATCACTCTTAATTAATGGTGGATGGGTGTTGT